AAAAAAAAAAAAAAAAAAACTATGGTAAAGATTTTTTCAACATTTATTTCTTTTCCCTTTTTTGAAGTTTGATAAAACAGGATTGAATTTCCAAAGAACCGGTTGCGTAATCAGAGGTAAACTTAGGGTTGGTGACCAGTTGCAAGATTCTCAAGTTCACTGCATTTATGTTAAAATGATAATACGCAGAAGTCTGACGATGAATAAAAAAAGTTGGTATGTTGTCTGGACGGTTCTGTAAACTTATAACAATATATTTTCCAATATTTAAATTTAAAGGACCATATATTAGGTTTGAAGTACACTCGAATTATGGATAAGCATAGATGTGCAACGGAATTCTGTCAGAGGACTTTTAAAAAAAGTTTATATGGGTTCTATCGTGCTTCATAACTCTGCCACAGTCGCATATGAAAGCTTTAATTTTATCAGAAGTACCGCGCCTTTAGTTGTCGTCGAGAACTTGATTTTCTTTTTCGGAAGAACGATTCATTATCTTATTTTCTGCTCAGATTACCTCGTCAAAAATCTGCCTGTTACAGTTGGCGCGACAGATTTTGTGAGCGTTTTTCGGTAAATTGAAGGAAGTTTGAAATAAGTAAGCGGATTTCACAAATAAATCCTTCTATTTAAGAAATTACAGATTTTTGAAACAAAGTTTTTACACCAACTTTAATCAACAACAAATAACTGATGAGATGAAATGAACAAGGAGCAAAATAAAAAGTTATTGTTCTGTCCTGCTTCTACGTGGTACTGGTGATCTAAGGTGAAGAGCTGGATTTTAGGCCTGTGAGATGTGAAATTTTTAGACAGGAGTACTAAATATAAAGTTTTAGTTAAAATTTAGCACGGATTTTTTTGTGGCTGTCAGGCTAATTTTTCTATATCTTTTTTACAAAATTTGACGAACGATAGTTGCAAGCAGGGCCAACTGAAGCCAAAGTTTGTTTTTGAAGTAAAATTTATTTTGTGCATAATTTTTCTTGATAAAATGTGAAACACAATTCTAATGTTTATCAAAGTTCTTGAAAACTTTATGACCACTTTCAGCTACTTTGGATTCCGCGTTCTGTCGATGCTTTTCGGCTTTTTTATCTTTAATTTTGAGGTCACTTAACATCTGGTAGTTCGTAATGTTATTGCGAGAGACATGTAAATTGTTTAAGCTGAAGTCATCTTTAGGCTGGAAATATGTGAAGAACCGTCGTGAGTCTACAATTTTTTTAAGTCACTGAAAAACAGTCAAAGAATTGTTCTATTAATTTTCTTTACTAATCAGTTTGATGCAAATTGATAGTTTTTAATTATCCTTCTTGTTGACAGTTATTTAGCACTGTAAATGCTTAAACGGTTAATGAAAAATCCTTATTTTTTTCTATAAAATTCAACGCTGAGATTTCGGAAATGAACGTTAACCTTGCAAAAAAGTAAATGGGTTTTTGGTTCACATGACAGCTATTTCTTTGAAGCACCTGAGAATGGCAAATACTCAAGCATACCTTAAAGCCACG